GGACGGGGGCTGGGGCTGGGAGCGGTGGGTCCCAGGCTCTGGCGAGGGCTGATGGTGATTTGTGTCGTGACGGCAACAGCATGACCAGTGCTTGGACAGAGGACTGTGTGCTCGGGCCCATGGCCTTGTGTTCTCAGCTGCCCTCATCCCGTGTCCCGTCTGGGCTTGTGGCCTGCCCTGAGCAGTCGTGGTCACCACTTCGGCCTCCTCTTCACCCTCGCCCATATCAAGCACCGTAACCCGCAGACCCGGGGTCCAGGACCACCAAACACACCTAGTCCGATGATGCCCAAGGTCTCTCCGCGGATCCTGGCGGCTCCAGAGGCCACTTCCCGGATCTGCTCGACACTCTGGACACGCGTGCCCTCCCTCAGGGCCTGGTGAAGCCACGTGGTCCGCCGGTACAGGTTCAGGATGTGGCACAGGGTCGAGTCTGCCGTCTCCTCCACAGCTGCGGCCGGCACGTTGCAGACAGCAATGCCTGTGGGGACAGAAGGGATGTGCCGTGGTGACCAGCACTCACGGCCGAGATGCAGGGTCACTGGGCCCAGAACAGCCACAGTCTGTCAGGGTGCACTGCTTCACCCCTAAAACGCCAGAGTCAACCCTCGAGAGGGGCTGCTGAGGTCACCCAGGCCTCCATCCCTGATGTCTCACCAGTGCATGGGGGCTGAGTGGCTGTGCCCGGCACATGTTCACAGAAGCTTCCAGAATGCTTTTGCCTTGCTCAGACCCACAGTCTCCCAGGACACAAGTGCACACGTGGTAATCCACCGGCCCCTCCGAAAGAGGCCGAGGTCCTCCAGAAACCCTGGCGTGTAGGGGCAGGCAATGTCCATGCCATGGCTTCCAGGTCTTGGCCTAGCGCTGGCCTTACTGCTCAGACACCTGCTTCCCAACACTCCTCCAAGAAGCTGTAGGAGGGAAAGGTGGTTCCCTCTGCTTCCTGCTGGCTGTGAGTGTAAAGACAAGAAGACTGTGGTGACCCCTGACAGGTCCCAGGGGCCAGGGCTAATGGGGGCTGGGACGGTCGGACACAGACTGGCCTGGGCTGACAGGAGGAGGAGGGACTTAACACAGAGAGGAGGAGTCTGATAGGGGGGTAGACCTTAACAGGAGGATGGGCTTGAGAGAGGGAGGCGGGGTCAGGCACAGGGAGGCAGTCTGATACAGGGAGTGGGGTCTGATTGGACAGAGCCCGACACACAGATGTGCCTGACACTGGGAAATGGGACCCGACATAGAGAGGTGGAGTCTGACAGGAAGAATGGGTAAACGGGCAGGTGGGTTTAATGGGGGAATGGAGCCTGGCAGGTGCATGGGCCTGATATAATGAAGTGGGGTCTCATGTGGGGAGAAGGCGTATGAAATGGGGTGATAAAGCGTGACAGGAAGATAGCTCAGACATGGGGTGATGCGGTCTGATGTGGGGCAGTGAGGTCTGATGTGGGGCGATGAGGTCTGACGTGGGGTGTTAGGCTCACAAAGGCAGGCAGAGTCTCGAGGAGAGAGGCAGAGTCTGACATTGGGTGGAGTCAGGCAGATCATGAGAAGTCTTGAAGCAGCGTCTGTCACAAAGAGTCTGTCAAGGGAGTAGGTCTGCTGTGGGGGGTCTGCTGTGGGGAGACAGGGTCTATCTTGGCAAGGGGGGATTTGATGTGGGCAGGCAGGGTCTGCCATGGGGAGGCGGGGTCTGATGTGAGTAGGTGGGGTCTG